TTGTCCTGACAAGAAGATTCTCAGCATGAAAAGCTTTGTCCTGACAAGAAGATTCTCAGCATGAAAAGCTTTGTCCTGACAAGAAGATTCTCAGCATGAAAAGCTTTGTCCTGACAAGAAGATTCTCAGCATGAAAAGCTTTGTCCTGACAAGAAGATTCTCAGCATGAAAATTTAAGAACAAAGAGCTACCAATCTTGGATTAAAAACTTATCTTAGGAATAGAAAATTTCGAATATTTTTTCCTGCTTCAAATTCTATGCATCCAAATCAATGTTAGTAAAAGGAAATTACGGAAATGCAGAGCAGCAAATTGTAAAGTTTGAAGAGAAGAATTAATATATGTGTAGATATTATATATATTTATATAATTTATATATATATCTATATATATAGATAGATAGATAGATAAATATTTCCAAGAAAACACAAAATTTTCACATTGCTAGGAGAGGTAAAATAAACTAAGGTCATTTTATTGGGCTCAATAAAATAATACACTGGGGAATTTACTGGGGAAATACTTTTTTGTAGAACATGTGAAATGTCTTAAAACTTTTAAAACAAATTTCTTTGTTATAAAACAATTCATCATTTTCTCTAAAGCTTACCGAACATAGTATTTGAAAACAGTTGAGCAATCGCCTTTATTCAGCTAACTTTGAAATATACTCCAGAGGATTTCAGTAAAATTTGAGCATCTGAAGCGGTGAGCCTATCATTTCAGATTAACTCTGATTTCAGAAGTAGGACGTTACCCAAAATATTCTTAAGATATAGAGTATCAGTTTCTTTTGACAATGTGATATTAATACATTAATACATAAGTATTTCTTGTGTCTCAGATTAAATTCTGCTTCTCCGAAAACAATTTTTAAAATTGTATTTACGGAATTTAACGTAAAGGACGTAGGTATACGGTGAACATTTTGTGTAGGACTGATTCAAGAATTAAAAGAGTTTACAGTTGTAAAAAAGTCATTCAAATGAAAAACAAGCATTATTTTTTTTAAGTTTGGAAAATATTCCTTGACATGACTATTGAATAAGTTCACTAGAATGCGGAATTTTAATTCGAATAAGAATAATAACTGCAACAGCAACAATAATAATAATAATTTTAAGAATACTTCGACAACTATTAATAATAATAACAACAACAATAATAATAATAGTATAATTTTTCCCGACCATTAAATTAAAAGGTATTTGAAACAAAGAATATGCAGCCTTCCCATAAGTTACAATGAACAAAAGTTTTTTTTTTCCTACATTTTTTTCACAGGATAAAAGCTGATCAGTTTTCACCAGATTTTAAATTAACTCAATTTTTGACTGAGCATGGTAATTTTAAAAGCTATTTAAAGCGGTTTGGACTGGTCTCAAGTGCTTTCTGTAGTTGTGGTATCGAAGATGAAGATGTTACGTATAAGAAATATTCTTCTTGAATGCATTCATCATGTACAGTAGATGATACTTCAGGCCTCTTAGAAATACCTGCCTGTATCTTGAACAGCAATTTTTTCTGAACATTTTCGGACGAAACAGACATTTTCTGCTTTTCGAAATTTTATTCTAAATGTATATTATTGAGTTATCACTATTTTTTTACTTTTTATTCCATTTTATTTTTCTTTAACTTATTTTTCTCTACGTATTATTTTAATTTATTTATTGTTTTTAATAATTTTTCCTATTTACAGTGCTATTGTACATTTGTTTATTTTGTTATTGGTATACTTGTGTAAGCCTAATTTGTGTGAGCCTTGTGTAAGCCTTCGTTAAACACGAGAGTTTAAATTTAAATCCCCCCCCCAAATTAAAAGGTAGAGTTTGTCTCGAAAGCAATGCAAAATATTAAAATGCAAATGTTATAACACCAAAATGTCACATAACTTACCTAATTAAAAAAAAATCTTAGTTATTTTCTTATTTATTTAATTCTATAAATTTATTTGTAAAGTAATTTACATAAAGAAATAAAAAAACACTTAAATAAGAAACGAAAAATCTTAAATAATTAATATTATGGACGCTTAAACAGTTCATATAAAGTATGTAACAGGTGCATTAAATTTTTTTTATCACACGTAGGTTGCAAATATTATTAAAAAAATTGTGTCTTGCAGAAGTTTTTTAAATTACGATAAATGCATTTATTATTAAATTTTTAATACCGGTTGTATATTTATTTTGCATTGTTTTCTTTGTTGCACTATGTAAATGTAAGAAACATTTAATGGGATTTTTATTGAGTTTAAAGACCGAAATCAAGAGTGCAATAGGCAATGCACAAATGTGCAACGATATATTTACTAAGGTTTTTAGTAAATGGTTTCGATGATGTTACTATGTTCCTTTCTCTCACTTCTCTAAGTAACTTCAAGTGAAGTGAAGCACCTAATCTTGTTTGTCTACCGATCTTCATTTTGCCATAAGAGTTGTATAAATGTACCAGAAAAATACTAGGGTTGTCATCTGTCCTGCTTAACGCTCGAAACACAATGCTTCAGAACAGTCTCCAGAGCTTCTGCAATAAATTGTATGAGAAAATGGTTACATTCATTTCTCAATAGCATCTTAACCAGTATTACGATTTTACAGTTGAACTGCACAGAAAATGTAATACATCACATGAAAAATAATGTGAGGGGGGTTAGTAAATTTTTAACTCGTGTATCTAAATTAAATTTTGGCTATGCCAATATTTTTCTTTGCGACCACAGTTGGGGTCACGACCTACAGTTTAAGAATAGCTGTTACAGAGGATGTTCTATCACGAATTAAATTAAACGTTGAGGGGAAAGAAGTGAAATATCCCATGTTAACTTCTAAAATTTTAGGTTCATGAGAAACAATTATTTCAGAGCTAGAAACAGAGCCGGAATTTAAAAGCTTTTACGCGTGTTGAAAGATCCAGATCATTTTGAACATACTCACATAACGATGGGCTGCAAATTACGAAATCATTAATGATCTTCTGTTCTAGACTAAAAGCAATGGTGAGTTAAGACTGGTTATCTCTGCGAGTTTAATGTTTTCATGACCAAACTGCCCAAAAAGGGCTTTCACTCGAACGAACAACGGCCACTCAAGGCCGAGATCATGCTTTGTTTCTACCTTGCCTCTAAAGTGAACTATGGCCTAAGGTGCAAGTCTTTAAATGCATTGCAGCAATCTTTGTTGTGGACAGTCTTGTCGTAAAAGTATTCTTATATGGTTCCTTATCGTTAGGTCAGAACTGATTTAGAATTCACTCGGGCTAATAGAAGCTCCTTTCCTCTACACCTCATTGTTCATAAATGACCGGGGGGCGAAGAAATTGTTGTGAATCTCAAATGGAGTTTCAAGTGTTACGAATTTGAAGCAAATAGCTGAAAGAAGGCGATAGTACTCTAAAATTTAGATTAAGTATTTTACACGAATTGCAGAATACACCACTGTCTGGCCATAAGAAAAACATCCTGGAAAGTAAGCGAAGCTGTTTGTTTTCCATAGCTGCAGAAATTCTAACGCAGTATGTCATGACCTAAAATATCTGTGAGTTAGTTAACGATATTTGTTATGGTCCGGCTAGATACTTAAATAACATGAGAGCTATATTTCTCAATGAAATAGTAGGAATTTACCTACTAGGTCACTGCTAAATAGTGAGAAAAAAAAAAGATATTTACTTGTGATCAATGATCATTTCTCGAAGTGTGTAGAAATAATTCACCTCAAAACAGCCGCCGCCAAAATTGCTGTAGATTCGTTTTTAAATATAGTCGTAAAAATAATTATTTTTTAGTATTGAAATATGGAGCGCCAGTTAAAAAAAATATCAGACATCGTTAATGACTTTTCAAGTAAAATGTGCGAAAATTCGTGCGGTCCTTGACCTAAAACATTTTTAAGAGGTTCTTTATTGTCTACAATCGAATTTCGTACAGACTGTGAATGGACCACATTCACTGGGAGAGCTATATCAATGAACTGACTTATGCGTTAAGAAAGCTAAACATAAGAAAGCTAAACATAAAATAACTTGAAAAACAATGGCCAAATTATTCCTTGGCAGAAAGCTGATTATGCTAATCGATAACCGTTTTTCTTAATTATTGAAAAATTGTCTTCTAATTCAATCTGGCAGATATTTAGATACTAGTTGGATGAGGCAAATGGTAATTCAAATATGTCCCATTCGTAACAACGGAAATAAAGAAGTCATTTTTTTTTTTTTTTTTTTTTTTACATTTTATTTTGCTCTTTATGCGAATCACTCGTCATGGAATGTGATCGTTAAGCGAGGTTTGACTGTATTTCAATGTTATTTGTTATTTGTCAATAAGTACTTCCTTTATTTCATGCACGAAAGTGAAAAGGAAAATTGTAAATTATTATGTGTGTCATTTTTTAATTATTAAGCTATAATTAAATATTAGTATAGACGAATTAAGGTATTAATATTTCAAATAGTTGACTTTGATAAATATAAACATGTGCAAATATAATTAACTTATGAACTGTGTATAGTATGTATGTTATGTGTTTATATATACTATACATATATTTCTCTTTTTCCTTTAAATGGTCAGTTACCTTGCCCTATATATAAGGGAGCGTATTTACCTTTTTGTCTGAGGAGGAAAAAATATCTAGGTACGGCTCTGGTGACGTATATCCTATCCTATTAAATATCTTTATTTCCTTTTTATTCATCTTATACAGTCTTTCACTAAACAATAATTTCTTGATGAATAAACTAAACACTTTGTTTGAGTATTTACAATGACTCATAACTCTTTTACAACTGTGATTTTTACAAGATAGAGAAGCATTAATTACACATAAATGCAAATTTTATAGAAAGCAACAACTATACTTTGTAGTCCATTTTACGTTAATTAAGTATTCATTCCAAAATAGCCATAATGTCATTATTATTATGACATTACATTCTCATTATGTAAGTATCTGAAGAATTTAATGAAAATGCATTAAACATATGACGACATCAAACATTTTTGCCGTTTTCTGCATTCCAGGCATCTTGGAACCATTGTTAGAGCTTTGGGACGGGTACCAACAAGTAATGAATTGCAGGAACTAACTGGAAAGGTAAAAACATAAATTATATACATATGTGTGTCTGAGAGAGAGAGAGAGAGAGAGACAGATGTATAAATATATTAAATTTCTAATTTTAATTTACAATAATTTCTTAAATCTCTATTTTAGTTTCTATATTCCCCCTTAAAAGTAGTAAACGCTTATAATAAATTTCTCTAACATCTAAATGAATCTATGCCAGTTGATACTATATAACGCTGCTGGCCTAAAGTTGCATATGCTTTAGCCATTTACAAATAAGAAAATCGTTACGTTGCAAGCTATAATGTTTTGACTCCCTTCCAGATTTTCAATTTGAATGCGTCAGATACATTCCTGATCTGCTTCCTTCTTGTTAAGATGCTGTTGCTTACATCTGTTTTTCATCCATTGCATTTGTTTTGAAATGCTGAAAACGTATAAATTACTCTTAGTGATGTGCGAATATGTGTATCTCAAGAGTTATTTTGTCCGGAAATAAAATTTCTCAAATAGTCACACGACTGTTATCCTAGCATAGTTCTAGTACAGTGTTGTTAAAGTTTTCTTTACTATCCAAACATTTCACAGCTCTATTAATAATTTATTTGAAACACAGAAAACTGCTATTTGTCATAAATATGTTTTAACAGTGCTTTGTTGCCCAACCGATTGACGTCCTAACACATAGTCATATTGTTTTTGAAGTTAAGTCTTCTAGCAAAGTGCTTAGAGGAAATTTGGTAATATAGTGTATGAATAGTTTCATCTTTTACTTGGCCTTTATAGACAGTGTACGGTATAATGTCTACTAATTTTCTACTGTGACTATATACATCTAATAATAAATGCAATAAATATGTATTTGCTGATCAGTAATAAATTAGAAATGGTGAATGCGACTTTTAATGCAAAAAAATGCGTTTTGCTTAACTAAGTATTTTAGAAACTTAGAATATAACTTAGCTGTATCATAGAACTGTAACATAGAAATTTTGCTAATGTAACAAACTAGGGGATACATACGTGCGTTTGAAATACTTTGTTAAACATCTGCGTATAACAGAAGACACTGAATTAAGTTGAATTTTAAGAAATGAGAGAATTATAATTGATAATATTGCAAGCGACTGAGGAGCTAAACAATGTTTATTTTTCTTTGGCAGTCCATAGCAAAGTAATGGGTATAATAATGACACTTATGTGTGTTGTGTATTTTCTCCTTATTTTAATTTAATTTTATCGTCTAAAAATCGAGAAGAGAAATTTAGTTTCCGAAAGATACGGTTGCAGTTAAAACATAACAAATATAAAGGTGTCATGGAGAAATTACAGGTTGCAGGTGACTTCCACAGTATTATTTCTTTAAAAGAAATCTATAATCCAAAAAGAATATATATATTATCTATCCTTATTCTCTAGTTAATACTATATATATATATAATATTAACTTTGCAATACCTAATAAGATACCATCTTTTCTACTTCCTTGCGACTAAAATCTCGCCCATTCTTATCATTTTTCTTCTGAACCTTCGGCCTCAGGTCATCCACACGTAATTAGAAGAGGTTCAGCCAACTCGGAGAAATTGCACACTGAACATCAATGGCAAATCTTCACCAGTTAGAAGGGAATTGTTTCGATGTGACTATCGAAAGTAGTTTGCGAGGATTTCTCTTTGTTAGTATGATGAAACCTATGACATGGATTAATCCATTTAAATTTAGGCAAACCTCATTTTTTGAGCACACTGAGGAAGGAGAAGATTACGCAAATATTTTTTTTTTTAATTTCAGAATTTAGTGTTAAAGCTCTTGGGAAAAAATTATGCCAGGAAATATGGTATTTAAATAAAAAGCCTTCTATTTTAAAAATAGTTTCTGTTGAAGAAACTCAAAATCTATTTATAAAGGTAACTGCAGCTGAAACTAACACTACCAATTGGACATATCCTTGCTTAGAAGAAGCCTGTTTTTAACAACACCATTTTTACGAGAAAAAAAAGTTTGTAGACAGGTAACGTGGTAGAATTTGAAAAACTAAGAAAATGTTTTCTTTTATGAAGAAAAAAATAATTGGATACAGATTTTACTTATGCAAAGACTATACAAATATATAATTTAAAATAGATCATAGATTTAGGATACTTTTTCAAGATATTTCGATCACGTACTTAAAACTCTATGATAAGTTGTGTTTCGACTTATCTCACTTGTCTGGCAGAATTATCAGAATAAGCCCACGAAATCCATAGTGAAAGGGCCTCACGATTGCGCCCGACTTTGGCAAAAGTCTTGAGCACCATTCCAGGTGAAGAATTCCAGAGCATCCTGGAATTCTTCACCTGGAATGGTGCTTCATCCTTACCTGACAGCATTTCGATTTACGAAACGTTTCTAAGATTACCCAGTGTTTGTAAAGAAAACAATTCTCTTAAAACAGTAATTTTTAATTTTAAAATAATAATTTTTTATTAATTAAAAGTAACTGATTTAACTATTAACTATGCATATTGCAAGATTATATAGTTTCTTTTACAGTTCGCTGATGAAATATTTTATTTCATGAAAGCTCTTTTTCCATCAATTTTTTATGAAAGTTCATTGAATACGTATATATGTTTATATACGATTTAATACGTATATACGTATATGTGTTTTACAGGTAGAAGATCCGGAAACACCAGGTTATATGCAGAAAGAAAAGATTTTGCCTGAATTAATTGATTATCTGATGAAAGATAAGTAAGTACCTGAAAATTTAATTAATGTTTGAAACTTATCCGTTAAGATGTCTTTAGCTTGGAGTTAAATTTCCATAATTAAGGCAATTTCGTCAATAAATGAACATGAATTTTAATTTGTTGTTTGGGCTACCAGCGGCCGAGGGGTGAAAACCGGTGAGCATTGGTAGTTCGGCCCGGGGTTCCAGTCCCGGCAAACGTTGTTTCCTTTAAGCTTCGTGAAATAAATTTTTCCAGTTTTAATATAGTATACCTCCCATATAATGCATATACTAGTCAGGAAATCGTCTCCGACGGTTATGTGGACCAGATTCCGTCCCAATTTAGTACCTCATATACAGTATATTACAGTAAAAATTTATAGGCTGCGAAACAACTATTTAAGTTTATACATGTAAAAGTATAAACAACTATTTACGTTTATAACATGTAAATGTAATTTCTGCAACTTAAGTTAAAACACAATAATATTTTTAAGTATCCATTATGTTTGCACTGCAAAATCTATTAAAAATACTATTTCAAATAATAAATTGGCTACCGGTTTAACATATTTATTTCTGCAAAATTTTGTCTTTCCGTTTTTATCCGTTATCGTTCAAAATTTTATCTTTTCCGTTTCCGTCCGTTTCTTTAACAGCGATGCAGAGGGCTGTGTATATTTGGAGTAGAGTCCGAGAGTGAACGAAGAGTTTGTTTTATATCCTGCGAAAATTTCGAAACTTTACAATAAACGCATATTTTGATGTTGGGAATTTAAATTTGTAAAAGAGAATCTAGTATTATGTATATTATGTACCATAACAAAGTTAAGAAAAGTAAATTTTAAGAAGGAAATGTTGAGGAAAAAAACTCAAGAAAATGAACATACACTTATAAAATGGAAAACATTATGAGCCAATACATCAGTTAATCTTTAAAGGCTCTGAAACTGTACAGTAAATCGGAAAGGGAAAATGAGATTAATAAAATGAAATGAGTGTTAAAGCAAAATCATTTTTTAAATTATAGTTTCTTAAATACATGAAGATTTCTATAGTAAGCAGTGTAGTAATGAGAAAAGATTGATAAATAAATATATAAAATTAAAATTAAAGGTACTTTTCGAAAGCAAAAAAGTGTGAGAGGTTACGCAATAATATCGTTCGAACCATTTTCCCAAGGGGAATCATATATGTGATCTAGAAAGAATGAGAAGGTTTTCTTAAATCATAATGCAGTATATTAAAAAATATCATAAAAAGTGCCTAATTAATATTTTTTTATCCTTTTTTGAATTAAAACAGATTGAAGAGTTTATCTCTTAATCTGTAACCATTTTAAACATTTTATAACTGACGCGTTTTTTTTTAAATTTTTGAATTTTGAAATAATGGACGTAGAATGGTAAAAAATTTCAGTATTAAAAGTTGATATATATTGCATTTTAAAGCTTTGTTCTCGTCATATCCGGTGGTGAAAGTAATGAAATACCGAGAAATTTAGATTGTTCATTAAACAAAGATATGTGCGAAAAATCAACAAAAAAATTTCAATCTTAAATATAAACGTCTAAATAGAAATCTGAAATAATAGCTTCGAAATGCTCATCTTTATCATCCAGATAGCTAATGTTGTAACTATAGGCAGCGAGGGTAACTCACAAACTCACGTATTCATCAGTTTGTAATAACAAAGACTGCAGTGGATATGTCTAGGTAGTCCTACAAACGATGGGAGTACAAAATGATTTTTTTATAGTTTAAGAGAAAAACAGAATATAGGTATCGTAGCGAATTTTGTGCATAGATAGATGATTTAAGTGAAACTACGTGTGAAATTGTATTCTTCTGAATAATTAATGTAACATGAAAAGCTAACAGAAATGATGCGATACCGGAGAAATAAGAATACAAGGGTAAGTATATTGAACATTGAGTAAATGACTATCACCATAATTTGGCGAGACATAGCTCATCTGGCAGCGGTTTGGGTTAGAAAAACTTGCCGTCACATTTTGCAATATATCTCTAATAGTCGCTAAATTTGGCAACCATTAGGCGACATTTGGGTCCGGTCCCTGTATCACCGTAATAAGTATTGTAATTGAATAAATGTAATTGATCACTATATTAGCTGTAACCGTATTCGGCCCTCATATGCATTCCGGTAATTACGAGAGGCAGAAAGTAATTGAAATACCTCGGGGTCAGTTAAAGTCTATACAAGATCTGACAGCTTCAGTTACTCAGTTGTTGTTGCTGTTGTGAGTCGTTAGTTCACTTCGACCGCGGAGTATTGACATTTCTCTGAAAACATTGCCTCTTAGATGTGCTTTGCATGCGTTGCGTTTAACATCCTCAGCAGTTTGAAGTGTAACTAGTGATTTTACTCTGTCATCAAGTATTTATGTGGCAGGAACCAGAAATCTGAAGTGTTTCTTTCGATAAAATAAATTTTGTCAATCTATCATCGGACCTGTGTGTATTCAGTCTATTACGAACACGTACGCACACGATACTATGTACAGGGAGAGTCTTAAACACCTGTTGTTTAAGAATTACATAGAATACATATTATTATTATTATTATTATTTTGAATTTCAAGTGATATTATCAAGGCGTATCATCTTCCCGAATTTCGAAATTCTGGGTGCGAATGAACTTATGAAGTTGTTAAGCGAATTCTTTAGTAAATTGTGCCACCTTTTCACATTAGCAATTTCTAGCTCTTGAAGTGTCTAAGGACGTCACATTTCCCAAAAGCGTCTTATGCATGCTATACTAGATCCAGATCTAGTGAACACGCCAGCCAATCCACGCATTTTTTCCAGATGCCAGTCTCCCAACAAGATGAACTCTACTGATATCCTATGATACTGCTTATTTTATCAATAAACTAAACAAGTCCATTTTGGAAGGTTAATTTCCCTAAGCAGATTAAACATTTTCATTGCATTTATATTCACAGTGAACTCAACTGAATCTTCTTTGCCGAAAATTAAGATAAGAAAACATGTAATAATGTGATTTCATTGAGTTAGTGAATTTTCACAATTTTAACCCTACTTCATTTCAAACTGCCAATGTTGATGCTATTTTGCCACCTGGATTGGCTGTTAAAAGTACAGATAAGTACGAACAGAAAAGAACAGATAAGTTTCGTCACGTCCGGCAGAACTAAGATATTTTTTTAACTTCTTTTTGTCTGATCTTTCTCTGGCTTGGCATTCTGAAAGGAAACTATCTCATCCCAACTGATAACGTGCATGGGTTGCTTGAATTTTTTTCAGGTTTTTTGCATTTTAAATACATTTCAGATGATAGGAATCAAATGTTTATACCCTTTGTGACATTCTTTGGTTTAGGTTAAATTTTGTCATGTCTGCATTTTTATATGAGTGCGTAGTACATGGACCTCTGGGTGGATAGTTTTGCTTCATTCAAGCTCTTACCAAAATGATCTTGTAAAAACTTGGTTAGGTACTGAAGGTGTAAGGTATTTTCTTCCTCCTTTCTGCATTCCTTCGTGGTGTAACGGTAGCACACTCAGAGCGTATTCGAGAGGTCCAGGTTCGAGTCCCAGTGAGACATTGCTCATTTTTCACGTCTCCTGCTTCAAAATAACCTAATGACTTTATAGTGGCCCCCGAACTAAGAGGTGATGAATGATGATGTTTAATTACCTGAATTTGGCGACTGGGTCCCCTATTCCCCAGTCGCGCTTTAAAAGGGGAGTATAACATATTTCCCCCGCCTTTTCTTCATTCCTTCATTGTGTGACGGTTAACACACTCGGCGCGTATTCGAGAGGTCCAGGTACGAATACCGGGAAGATCATTTCTCATTTTTCACGTCTCCTGCTTCAAAAAATAACCTAATGAATCTACAGTGGCGACCGAACTAAAAGTTTGTGGATGATTATTCTTCGCCACCTGTATTTGGCTATTGGATCCCCTAATCCCCAGTCGCACTTTCAAAGAGGGACACATTGTAGAGTCATTAGGTTTTTCTGAAGCAGAAGACGTGAAAAATGAGCAATGCCCTCTGCCGTGACTCGAACCCGGACCTCTCGAATAGGCGCCGATCGTGCTGACCATTACACCACGAAGGCATACTAGTGATAGTGATAGTGACGGAGGACGTGGCCACCACCCCTTTACTATTAAGTTAATTAGCATATAGGGCCACGTCCGCCCTTATACAGAGTAAAGCCAGAGAGGCCACATGGGAGGCTTGCACAGGCCCCAAACCCAACGCCTGGACCATCCGGTTTGCAGTTCCGCGAACCAAATGCCACCGCTTAGCACCCGTCCAAGTGCCCGGTTCCAGTGATTTGAATCTAAGATAGCATTGTAACATGGCTAAAAGGGCAGATATACATTAGTAGTTATTTACAGCTTTGTTAATACCATTTGCTGACATGAAATCCACACTGTTACATACATACTTTCTAAATACCTACATGACATTACCTTAATTTGCTGCTTTGGAATAATAAGCAGAGCTAGTAATACAAGCACATAAAAAAAAAATAAAAATAAAATAATAATAATAATATAATAATAATAATAATAATATAATAATATAATAATAATAATTTAATAATATAATAATAATAATAATAATACATACATTAGGACAACGCTTGCCCACCTATAACCACATCGCAACACATAACCGATTACTTATGCTTGAATGATACTGATTTACATTGATTTGCTGAATACTGACCAGTTATATTTACACTGGCATAAGTCTGGACCCATGTCCATTAGCTTTGGCAATTATATGATTAATTTTGTTGGTCTGGTGTCGCTGCTTGACCATAAATCTGTTGAATGCCTCCCTGTTCGTCTCCGGGAACGGAATGTGCATTCCCTCCGTGACAGGACATTCAGAACTAGTGTTCTCTGCTGTGCCCAGTCGCCGCAGCAGCACGATCCGAATTGGAGATTCAATCTCTCAAATATACTGGAAAGGGCCATGCCCTGTGATGTATACGCCATTGTGGCCGTGCAACCAGTAGTTCCCTATCTACTTTAGGCAGAAATGTATGCGCTCGGCGGCCTGTGTCTTCGTTGTCCCACGCATCTTGCCAGAGTGCTAGAGCTGTGGCGCGCAGATTCCGTGGAACACATATCTTACAATATAAGGTATTTTCTCCCTCCTTTCCGCACGTCTTTGTGCTGTAACGATAGCACACTCGGCGCGTATTCGAGAGATCCAGGTTCGAGTCCCGGCGAGGGTATTGCTCATTTTTCGCAATTCCTGCTTTAAAAAAAACTTTCGCAACCAACATTGATTTTTTTAAAATTCTTCTGCATAATTTTGCTCCTTTTCTTTAATCCGCAGTTTTGCAATAAAATATAATAAACACATATCAGGAAGAGTGAATTTTAGTTATTCTAGCAGTGGGTTATTGGTTGACCACTAGAATGACATAAAGCAAACTTCTGTCATAAAACTGAATGTTTTATGTAAAAATTTCATTGGAACATAAAATAAACATAAGATCTTACAATTTATATATAATATGCTCTTAAGATTGTTCTAATACTTAGACATCTAGCCTACTTTTAGACGAACTTTAAAAATAATGATCCAGACGTTATCTATACATCAATAAATAAATAACGTGTACGAATTGTTTCCTTTAGGGAAAATGCTCAAAATATTAAGAGTAAAACCCAACATATTTAGAGTGCCTCCATGTCAAACATGCATGCCTTGGGTATCCATGTTTTCGAACCCTGTCCCTTCGGTAGAACAGTCTGTGTCACTAACCACTACCTTGATTTAGTAGCGAAAGTAAAATACCTTAATTTAATGTATAAAAAGATCTGGAAAGAATAAAACTTGAAATAATCTAATTAGTTCTTAATGGGTGATACGATTAGAGGCCAAACACTGTCGGTCAGCATTCATGTATACTAAATATCTTCTAAAAGATGAAAAACATGGATAACAATTGGGTTACCATTTTAATAATCATCATGGAGAAGCAACAATAGCGAACAATTCAGCTAATAGTGTTTCTGATCCCAACATTGACAGATTCATTTATTATTTTTATTATGAAATTTTAAAGTTCTTAAAAATATTTTTTAATTTAGTCAATTAGATAGCCAGTGAGCATTAGTCAATGAGCTTGAGCAGGTACTCTATAAGTGTGGTAAATTTAGTTTAAAATTATTTAATAAAGCCACTTAAAATTAATATAAATACCACTCTTCTTACTGAACTCTATTTATTCAATTATATCATTAACATATTGGAGTATTATTAACAAAGTTTTTAAAGTTAGAAATTGTTTTCAATGTTGCGCTTACAGCAAGAAAAATTTTAATAACATTTAATGCATTTAAGTTTTAGAATTTACCTCAAAATAAAAGAAAAATAAAACTTTCCTTCCTTTCTAGATGGAAGTCTTCCTCGAAAGAAGTTTTGCTTCAAGCGTTTCAAGTGTTTGATAGAGATGGGAAAGGTTTTCTGGAAAGAGAATATTTTCGCAAGCTACTCCTGCAGTACGGTATGTAATTCTATTCCGTTAATTAAAGTATATTTCTTTCTTTGTGATGCTCTTTGAAAATACCTAAAGAAATTTATTTTTTTATTAAAAGGAATGATGTTATTACAACTAATATAAAAAAGAATTGGTAGCTGCTATTCTAAGCACGATCGAAAATTGGATTTAGAAAGTTTTAAACATCCTCTGAACTAAGCATTTTTATCCTCTGAACTAAATCGGAATTAATTAAGTAAAAAAGAAATAATAATAATTCTTAAATCTTTACATCTTTGAGAAGTTGATAATAGAAAACGTGCTTTTTAACTGCTGTAAGTAATAGCATTGATATAAGGTTTCCAATAAAGGAGTGGAGATTATTTATTAATATAAAGATGGAGAAAATGTTCTGAAACGCCACAAAGGAATTAAAACTTGCGTCAAATAGTTTTCTGGGTTGTAAATAGCGGAACGATAATACTATTTGCAATAATATTTTAAACTATTTCATAAGTTTTATCTTTATGTAAATTAAATTTTTTGTCAGAATTTACTTGAAATGTTTGGCCAGGATCTTTATCTTTATTATGCCAATGATAGAATTTTAATTAAGTTAAAAAGTAATAATTAAATTAAAATTAATTATTTAAGTTAAAAAACTAACTTAATAATATTTATGCAAATGCGCTTTTTTCTGAATTTTGATTTATTATGAATTCATTAATTGCATATATATATATAAAATATAAGTTTTGTATTAGCCACAGTTAATTTAATTAAAATATTTTTTTTTAATTATATATATATATTATTTATAAAAGAAATAAGTTTATGTTAATATTTAACTTAAAAACTTAGACATTCCAATAATTTATGAATAAGCTCAGATTTAGCATTAATTAAGAGGTAGTAGTTACGACAAAAATTTGCCGCCCAGTCGGTATAGTTGTTAGCGTGGCTGACCACCGTGCCGAACGTCCCGGGTTCGAATCCCAGAGATGTTGCTGGTAGGGAAAGAGGGTTTGATCCTTTCTATCCCGGATTGGTATCTAGCAAAATTGGAAGCGGAGCTGATACAAATGGTACTGTTACCTGTAAGGTACTCAAAGCTGTTGCCAACGGACAGGCGTAAAATTTCGCTCCATGCCGGATTGGGTTGACTAGACGTCAGACAAATAGGCATTAGCAACAACAACACTACAAAATATTTTCAAAATTGAAACTTCTTAAAAACAGTACTAATAAAAGCTCACATCAATGAATAAGAAATCAATTTGTTGACTAGCAAAGTGTGAAAGTCAACAGGCTACTAACGTTGACATAGTAAAGAATTTAACTGTAACCCCCTGTAATAGAAAATTGAATTTTTTAAGACTGAGATGAATGGCTAAAGAAATACAAACAGTTAATAGCGTCAAAAGCAATAAATTACCGAACTCCAAAAAAATTGGCCCACCAGCGGCCGAGCTGTAACGTTACAAAATGAGTGTTTTCATGGTTTTCCCCCATGTGTAACGTGTATAAGAACCAGTTTCCCTTAAAAAGTCCTGCACAAAGGCATCCCTCCCTTAAGGCAGATAGCCTAAGAGTGCTTTGGCGTAATCTAATAAACCAAACCAAACCAAAAGAAATTTAAGTTACCGTATATTCCAGCCTATAACGCACACTTTTAACACCAGTAACGTAATCTAAATTTAAGGGTGCGTATTACATGTCGGATATAAAAATGAGAGATTAAAAGTATGGAAAAAATCAGCATAGAACCGCTACATTTTTACGTGTACTTATGCTGTTTATTAAAAAGAAATGGCATACGTTTTAAACTTAAAAATTTTTCATTAGTGGATAACTTGAGAAGTTCGTCATGTTTCTCATCCGTTAAATCTTCAGGCACATCGTCCATTTTTGTGTCATGTTCACCATCATTGTTACTCTGTTCCATAATTAAATAATCATCATCCTTTCCATCTTTCTCGAACACCAAACATTTTTGCTGCAACACAATTTCCATTTCCTTTCGCAAACTGAATGACTCCGCACTTGGAACCAACAATGTGTTGTTTCGTTCAGCAGAAGCCGTATTTACTACTAAACGAAACACTAGATCAACCTCAACTGAAACCTTCGTTGTTCACATGAAAATTACGGCCTCAAATGATTATAGGAAAGAGAAAACATCTGAAACCTAATTCCTTGAATTTTTTCGGGTTGAATTCTTGCTTCAAATTATATCCTCCTTTTCTCGAAAGCATTCTTTTGGAAACTTCCATTGAATAAAATCTACCATCTTTGCAGGAATATTTACCCTCTCAAGCATTTTACCTACACACATTTTGTTCCTTAACGCTTGCTAGCCAGTTTCCCTTAGAAATTCCTCCACCAAAGGCATCCCTCCCCTTAGGCAGATAGCCCTCGTGTGCTTTGCCATAATTAAATACACCAACACCAACACCTTAACGCTTGCAAATTGTGTGTACTATTGTTCGAAACGCTAGGGCAAATCTTCGAATAAGTCATCTCAAAAGATGAGAGCATTTCACATGTATCTTTTAGGTTTCTTCTTGAAGAATTGGGTGCACGTTATACGGCGAATATACCTAAAACTAAAAATACAGCTTGAAATTATAGATGCGCGTTATACACAGGTGAGCGTTATAAGCCGGAAAATACGATAATTACTAGCCTATTTAATTGCCAAGTATAAATTAATATCCACGTATATGCCTGCATGTGCCTTCGAAAAAATTGAAAATTTCTTACTTTTAATTAAGCTTTTTGGAGATTTCAAACTTGCCATCGCTAATTAGTTTCGCCAATGGCAACTGGCAACCATTGCCGTCTACTTTTGGATTTCTATCCTTTGTTCTTCGTTCTCTCAACGGTAGGTTATGAAATCAAAGTTCTGTTTTACATTTTATGCTCATTTTGTATTATTCCATTTTAATTTGAGTTTTAATTTCAGTAAAAATATGTCTAATTATTGTTCTTTTACGTTATTGGACATTGAATTTATTACATATGTATTTCTTTCTGTGTGTATAATTTTATTTCATTCTTGGAATTCCTCTGCGTCAAGAAGGTATTCAGAATTTTCGGGTGAATTTTTATAATTAAATAATTTAGAATGGTTCATCAGCTAGTTTTAATGAACATAAACGCAGTTTTTCCCCTGGGGGGAGGAGGGGACTGATACAACTGAATCTGATCTACCTCCTTTTGATAACATTAAATCAGAATTTGATTGTATTCCTCTTCCTATACATTTTGTACTTCATATATCTGTAGTTTTCCGGAATTTAACTGGTTTGGTGAAAATTGTTTGATATATTTTGCATATTTATAGAGAATTTTTGATTTTACTGTTACTGAATTTAATTTAATTGCTGTTTTTTACAGAATGTGTTGTATTCTTCAGTAACTTCCGATAACAGTTTTGTTCATGAAATATTGCCTTGATAAGAATTTAATTTTCATTTTAGTCAAGTTATAATAGTTTAATTAACTCTTCCTACTTTGTTATTAGTTTGTGGTATATTAACAGTTGTTAATTGTGCATGTTATAGTTATTTAGAAATTAGTTTTAAGGTTTTAGGAAATAAAAGCAGCGTTTCTATCACTTACAATTTGGGAGGGGGATCCGAATCTGAATATTCTGTTCTAAATAATTTACATAAGTATCAGCAGTTGCACTTTTAGATGCAAATGTCTATATACAACGAATATCATGATCTATAATAATGTGAATATACGTTTTAGAATAATTATAACTATTTAAAACAACAGCAGTATCAATAAATGACGGTCCGAAAAGTTCACTTACAGATGTCAGTTCTTGCATTAAGCTAATATCTTTTCTTTGCTTTTTTATTAAATTAATACTCTCCATAATGTTTACAAATTTTTATATCTTGTGAATCTTGTGAATTTTATAACATCTTGTGAATATATGAAACTTGTTTTCATATTTTTACATCTTACACACACACCACACACAGCCGTACATATATACATCTTTTACGACAGTCTTTCTACACATTCTTTTTCTCTCTGTATATATATATATATATATATATATATGTATATGTATACCTTCCAAAATTATAATAAGCCTGAACGCTGTTTAAACTAATATTTTCTAGCACTCATTACAAAAAAAGAAAAAAAAAATATTACACCATATTTTCACTTTTATCCTCTTTTCGTTTAGCTGAAAATTATCTTCACATTTATCCAAGTTCTCCAAAAAGTTGACAATTTAATTCTTTTGTAAGAGTAAATGCACGTGCAGCGAAAATTCACAAAACGAAGGTTACTCGTATAATGCTGCAAATCCTATTTGCATGCTGGGAAAAAATTCATATTGAGAAAAGACTTGAACTTATTGATACTTTTATAAAATAATTTAATTATATAGATTTTACTATACATTCGAAAATACGCCTGTTAAAACATCTCATTAACTGTTTATAGCCCATATTATTATTAGCATGTAGTTTGTGGTATTATTAGTACCCGTAAAATTGCACCATTATGTATGTAATTATCTTTATCAGTCAAAATAATTCATGATGATGTTTGTATAATCACACCAGAATGAAATAAACAGTAATTCATGAATACAATTTGCTGAATTCTTAGACTTATTGGCTCCGTTTATGCAGGTCCAGAACTCCATCAATCGAATTTTAAGGATGGCAGCCCTTAAAATTCTTATTTTCCTTAAAATTCCTTAAATCCTTCCTATCCTTAATTCCTTAAAATAAAATCTATTTATCTTCCCAAATAATGAAAAAGCATTTTACAAAGCAAGGTTTTAAGTGTTCGAGCTGTCCCCAAATCTGCATTGGTAACGGAATGAGTGCAAAATATTTGTAATTATCGCTTATAGGATTTATTTTATTATTACATTTGTATCTAAGTCGGAAGTTTTGAACGAGAACTAATTAATGCATAAAGCTATTACACTCTAAGACCTTTGTGTATTGGTTAATCATTATCTATTTATGCGAAAAATTATTTATAAATGCTTTTGATTACTGAAGAAGTTACCAACATCGAATTAATTAATCTTAGCTTACAAAAGGTAAATTACTGTGTTGACTTAATAACAAGCTTAGCAAATTAAAGTCTCTCCTAAAGAGGGCCTTCACGTAAGACCGTACAAAACGCATTTGGTTAGTGTTTAGGGAGGAATGTAGGAGGAAAAACACTGAGGAAGAGCTGAAATGGTCATGTAGTTCACCATTTCGTTGAAATCGAACCCTGGGCGAAATTTAATAGGTATGACACTTCTGTTACACTGTGGTTTCTATTAATATCTTTCGTTGAGCCTTATATTCGCAAATTACTCCCTTGTTTTCTTTACTATTTAGGTTTGTGACTGAAACATAAATTTATAAAGTTAATCTGATTAAAGCGTTTACTTTAGTTTTTACGTAGTTAGTACTTGATTACTTTAGTTTACTTCATATGCTTTTAAAACTTTTTTATTTATTTATCATTTCTTTTAAACGTTATTACTTGTTAACCCATATCGCCCTGTACTTAAGAAACTAAATAATGAAGAATCTATATGAATGTATGTATATTTCTCGCAAGAGCTACTCAGATTAATCAAATTTTAGTAACATGGTCTTCGATCCGAACAAGGAAACCTGGACCTTGAATTTGGAGTTTAGAATTTGTTTTATTATCTTTTTCACATTATGTAAAGCTTTAAAGAATTTTTAATTAAAAGCTCAACAATTTCAAAGCGAGCAGTGGCAACATGTAACGATTAAAACACTTTTATCTCTAGCGCGCGAGATTGTCTATCTGAAATTCTAAAAATATGTGTTTTTTAAATATTTTTAGCCTACTGTGATGTTAGCTCGAATTCTCTTAAAACGTGTATATGTTTGTAATTGGAAAAAACGCTCGTTTAGGTATAATATAAAATCCGAAAGCCTTCCGATTTTTTTATTTAGTACTTCCTTGTACAAAGTAAAGCAAGTATTTCAATCACGAGAACTTCCAGGTACCACATTTCAACGAAAACATCCATTGTGACCGCAATCGAATGCAATTTAACATGTTTATGTGTTACATCTGTACGTAAGGACAGAATAAGGGACTCTTTTCTCCCAAGCGAAATATAAAAATGATTTAAACGGATTCAGAAGAGGTTTTTTTCGCGGCGTCTGTACGTACTTATGTATGTATGTATATATATCGCATAACTCAAAAACGAGTAACTCAGAACATTGAACTTTTGTATATAGGACTGCTATAACATGGAGTTGTGCAATGTCGATTGCTCCATTCTGCTTGCAAACGACCGCACCAAAAGTATGTATCTATATATATATATATATATACAGTGTGTATATAATATATATACTCACACTGTTACTCCGCCCATTGAACTCAGTTTTTTATTTTTTTTATACTTATATATTAGTAAAGTGCGCATTTCTTGTTTTAAAAATGTTTCAATTATGTTTTTATTATCTTCCGGTTAAGGTTTTTATGCCTTTAGTAAATCAGCATGCAATATTTAAAGAATTATCAACAATTTAAAAGTTCTTTCAGTACGGCTAAGCCTGATTATTTTTATCATGGCAGCCATAATTGTTTGTTGCCGGTCTAGAGAAACTAAGCTTCGCAACAGCAAAGTAATGTCTTCTTTTATCATTGCTAATTAAATCCATTCTGGAATTATCATTTAAGTTATTAAATTATCTTATATAATGACTCAGCACAGCGTCCCCAAAGTATTAAGTCTATTTCTACGCCTTTAGTGTATTTTTGCCAAGTGTCACCTAAAGTAAACTTTGAGTTTTGTACACTGAAAAATCTGCCTAACAAGGCAAAGTCCGCTAGCCGAATTGCTTGTTTTTGCGGAGAAACGTAATTTTAATTGTAAACATTTTTTATTTAATTGTTTTAATTCTATTTGGTGTTTTACGTTTTTCTATGTCTTTCAATTTTTAATATATATATTTTGGCTTTGTCGCGAAGTGAGAACTGAATAATTTGAATGTGAAATATATCTCTAATGAATTTCAAGGAAATAAGTTTAAATGAAATGCAGGAAAAATTAGTATAATTTAATGTTCCGTACAAGAAATTCATGTAGTGTTGTACACATCAGATTATTTTAATTGTAAATATTATGTTAATTTTTCTAACAGTTAAATTTTGAGTTAAATTTACTTTCCTATCATTTCTTAATTTCGTGCAGGTTTATCGTACAACTCCCAGACGGAGTTCTGTTACACCTTATTGGAATAAGAAAGAGTATCTTGTTGTTTCCTGTACCACGATCTCAGGCGATTATTCGCTAATCAGTTTTTAAGATTCTTCACATTCAGCTAACTAACTAAAAAACACAGTACAGAAATTTACATACTTATTATTTCCTTTAAACTTTATTTATTCATTTATCATTTATTTATTGTTGTATTCTCGTTTGTACAAACAAGAAATTATTTGTTACTTATCGCAAGATATAAACAAAAATAATTATACGCATAGGTCCAATCAAAAATAAGCCATTTAATAAATTCATAAGGCCAATGTACTTTAAAGAATGTCTGTCATCATAATCGTAAAAGTCTAATTGTTCTAACTTTAAGACGAGGCCTTCGAGCTGTAGTACTTAAGCCGTTCGCCTAGTAATTACGCATTTTCGTTAAAGTGTGTCAACTAGATAAAAAAAAAGGCTTTTCACGTGTAGTATGTGTTCATGTCGGTAAAACTGTTCGGCATATAACTGTCAAAGATTGAAACAAATGACAGAAGCTGTCTATTTCCTTTTCCTCCAATGGCAGTCCTCTCAGGCTTTGACAAAAGCTCTGACAATTCCGTACTAATTGTCATTTATCAAACTGCAGAATTATCGAGATAACAAAGTGGCTATGAATTTCTTCGGTTCTTTTTTACTCTTTGAAAATAAGGAGCATTTTTTTCTAGAATGTTAGAGTAATTTTCAAATGTTGGGAAACGAAAGGATATTTAGAACAATCTAAATATTCTCAGTGATAATATTGCACTACCGTAACTGCATTTAGCGTTAATTTTAAGCTATTCCACCCTGGCATATAAGATACAAATTATTACATTAAAAAAATAAAGTTTTGATGTCTGTAATTCATATCCCAAATCAAATATGGTATAATGCCGTTTTTCTTTCTAATGTTTATTCGTACAAATTCCTTACATTCAAGATATTTTCGCTCTTTACTCTGCTACTCGACTCTCCATTGAGTTTAACTATATTAACCATACGGATTAAGTCAACACGATGGTTTATATGTCATGTTTTAATGCATAGATGAAGGAATCAGGTACTTTAATTTCTGGCCCCCGAAGGTACTTTATTGCGCAGTTGGAAGGATCAAAATATAAACGAAAAACTACCAGCTATGGCCATTTCGAAACATAATTTTCTTGCAGGATTATTCCAATCAGATCATCTTTTTGTAGATAAGATATTTTCCAATCATATTTGAATAAGATAATTTCCATGTACGCGTGTTTTAGAGTACGACGTCATTCAGGAAAGTAAGCAGCAGCGTGGATGAAGAGTGTCTTGACACGAAGAAGGTGTATGCGAAACGGACGTAGCAGTTCAGAGGAAGAAGGAAAAGTGCCAAAAAGTTTCAGTTCCGAATTAAAAAAGTTTTTGTTTACAATTATTTAATTGGGATTAAGCGTTACGTATGATCGCATGATTAATTTGAATGACGCAGTTTAGACTATTTTTAGATAAAGAGAGGAAGTCCCTAAATTAAATAAAGGATAAAAGATGCTACAGCCAATTAAATTTAGAATTTTTCTTTCATATTTTTATCATACATATATATCTTTACAAAGGCCTTACTACGAATTTTACAGAACTGCATAAGTTATTTTATTACATTTCCCTGTGTTATATTGTAATCACTGTGCTTCGAGTGATATGTATAATTTGTACTTTGCTATTTACTAATCTATTACACGTGATTAGTCTTACAATATATAGTCCAGAGACATATAGAATAATCAGTATTCCAGAAATAAAGTCAAAATTAGATTACCTTTTCCATGTCAAAATCATTATTCAAATTCAAAGTTAAAAACATAAATCCAACATAAATTATGAAATTTAAAGTAAATTCAAAGTGAAATTCATTCAAATTTGGATTTTATATTTTGTTGTCATAGTTACTTACCTTTTCATTGATACGTGTCATTAAAAGTTTTCCGTCGTACATCCTGCAAAGATATAGAATTAGAAACAAAGTAAATTGTCAGGTCAGACTCTTAATTCAAATTAGTTATCAATTCATAATCAAAGTCATACTATCAAAATCATCATGCAACGTCAAAAATACGAATTCAAAGTAAATTGTCATGTGCAAATTAAATTTTGTGTAAAATTTACTAAAAGTTGATTGCCATTGCTGCTTCTTATTGTTAACGTTCATTTTCATAGTTCAATAACTTTGACATTGGTCCTTGTTCCGTCACATGTTTTGAAAGGAAAAAAATCTGAATGTATACTGTCAGCACAATCTTTTAATTTAAATAAATTATCCATTCATATAGTCAGAATCAAAGTCCTATTAAGCTATCGAAATCAAAATTAATTTAGATACTCATTTGGAGTTACAAAATGCTTCTCCGATTCTGAGGCGAACCATTTTTTTTTTATTTTTATTCACGCGAACTTTGCGGATAAGATGCTAAATCTATAAACGCAGACGTTTTCAAATGGCAAAATATGCCACAACATTTTAGTTTTACAAACTGCTAATTTCAATATACCATATACTATTTTTATTAATAAAAATAATATCAATCGTCAAAAAATAATTGCTACTTATATTTTAGTGTTTTACTTTATACATTTAATATGCATAGAAACATTTTTTTCTTGCAAGGAACAATGAAATTAAGAGTTGTATTACTAGAATCTATGATGTCTTAGAACTTAAAAAATGCAGTTCTAAGCTTTCTCTTAATTAATTAGTTTTGATGAAGTTCTGATATAGTAAGATTGCCTCATATTTTAAACAACTAATTATTTCAGAAAAAAAGTATATACGAATATCTTACTTTAGTTAGTAGTCATATTTAATATACTTTTCTCATTCCAAACAGGAGATTCGTTTGAAGAAGACAGCATAGACACATTCTTGGACGAGGCAACAGATCCTATTATAAAGAAAATTAATTACATAGAATTTTGTGACAAGCTGGTTGCTCCTGAAGTATTTGACATCGTGCAACGTCAGCGAAAGCTTCGCAAGGAAATTGCTAATTTAAAGAAAGAAAACCGCAATAAAAATCCTTATTTTGTCTAGTGATGAAATGAGTTAATAAACATGCAACGTTATTTCAGACTTCTACTGGTGAAAGCAAGGTTTTACGAATAAATGAAATTATAATTTATTTAGTCAACTAATCGATTAATCGATTGCACAATAATATTAGGTAACTAGGTACTTACATGTTATCGCAACCACCTTAATAAAAGTCACAAAATTTTCAGAAAACGCCAAACACTGGCAACCATACGCATAAGGATTCTTCAGGTAACTTTGCCCATAACAGCCTTTCATTCAAGCAACGTGCCATGTTTGTACGCGTTCTTTTTGTTGCGTTTCAAGTTCCAACGATTTTTATAAACAAATCGTGATATTTTTTGCCTTAAATGTAATTTAAAAATATGGGCTTGTAGACTTTATCAGTAATGGAAGGAACAGCGGTAGAATTTCTGCAGGAATACAGAATTTTGCCGCAAAGTCTAAAAAAGAACAAGGAGGAAATGCGTTTATTCGATAGTCAGTTTTGCCGATGTCTGTTCAATTCTCTGATATTTTTTAAGCGAAATTTCGCTGTGTACTTCAGGAAGAAGAATGGAGCATAAAAAACAATATTGGAAGATTTGTGAAGAATGTTAATGGTTTATATTTTTAATGTATCACATAATACTTATTTAACAACTAAAATTTGTTTTTTAAATTCTTAAATAGGATTTCTTTTAATATGTTGATAATGCCCTACTGGCTTACGATAATATAGATAGTTTGTGAATCGTTTAAAAACAATTCCAATACCTTTACGTTTTCATGTGCAACCTTTACGTTTTCATGTGTAAAAAATCGCCAAACTGTGCCAAGGTGCTTGCCTGAATATGTAAGGAACGAGAACTATAGTGTCACTGAAGATATCACGAAAAGTGTTTAAAACATCAGGCTCAAATTCAGTACCTATACGTTTATAGGTTGAATTAAAAAGACAGGCTGAAAATAAATTTATAAAAATAAAAATAATGCTCAAACTGTATAGCTAAATCGCAAGTTTGTTTTTCATTGAATGGAGCATATGTTCAAATAAAGCTCGGGATCGTGGAATATCAACTAATATCCTCACATAAAAGAACTACAGAAGAGACGATTTCCAGATGAATCCATACCTTCCAACAAAAGACAGTGAAAAGTGCTTATTTAATTCCAAACATTCACTAAATGACACTACTTTTCGTTAAGTGTACTACCATTTTGATATAGTTTGACCATGAGTCAAACTATATCAAATTCGGTAAGTTATAAATCGGTCAAAACTATTTTTTAATTTCTTCCCTAGTGTGAAACAAAACATCGTAAAAAATTACAATTATATTAGTCTCAAGCCAATGAACTCAAAACAAAGGCATTTGCTTCTCAAAGAATTGATCGAAAAAAAAAAAAACCTCTAAAATAACTTTCCATACAGGAAGTATCAGAAACCGGTATTCCTAATTTTCTCCAATGTATTATTGATTATTTAAGTTACTAAAGTTAAAATTATCAGGCATTGAAATAAACTAGTAACAATCTTTGTTCTTAGCCCGTAAAGTGAGCCGATGAGAAAGTAAAATGATGTGAAAAAAATAAATGTAAGATATTAAACGCAGTTCTTTGTTTAATTTCTAAAGGAAGAGTGGACTTTTCTTCTAAAGGTTTCTAAAGGTTTCTTCTAAAGGTTCTTTGTTTAATTTCTAAAGGAAGAGAAGACTATTTTTAATTAAAGTCTTCCCTTTAAATTGAAGCAAAGTATTGGCATAAATTAATATCCACTTTATTTCTAAAGATAATTAGCAAAACTGATAACAAACAATATGCATATCAGTGGGGAGGAAAAAAAATGCTCCGCCAAAAAGGAAGGAACAGCCACACTGCTCTGAAAGGAGAATTTTCTTGTCTTATGAGCTTATACGTTTCATTTCCAGAAAAATGTAAAGCTTATTATTAATAAAAATAAAAATGTTCATTTTTCTTATGGAAGGCATAACGGCAATTTGAATTAACTTGCTAATTTTAGGAAAAATTCTAGCTCAACATATTCTTCACTAAGGAATAAAAAGGAATATTAAAATGATTAATAAGTCGAATGAGCCAAAAACAAAAATAAATTGACTGAAGGTCAATTGCTAGAAAATACACAGCATTGAAAATTACCTGCTTTATTTGTGAAATCAATAACAAAATTTTAGAAAAGAACAAATAATTCTACATAAATTCTTAAATAAAAGTGGATGCAAATCTATGCATATTCTAGTTACACAAGTTTTGTATTAATTGTGCTTCTGAAAAAACCTATAAATTCTAGAGTTAGTATATAGGTACAGATCATCATGCAACTGATAACTGCACAAAAGATGTCTTACTTGGGCTTCGAAATGAGCCAAGTCACAAGCCTAAATAGTACTTTCTTCCCGAAATTTCTGTAGCCTGCACTGGAGTGTAATAACAGTATATAGCTTAAAAATTAGTCTGGCTTCTAACAAGATGCATAACCAGATTATTAAACTAAAACTACATGCTTCAGTATGAAGTATTTTTAAATAATATGTAAATAAACTGTTGTTTTTAAGATTTTAATAAATTTTTGTCAAACCAAATGCGAATAAGTGTGAATGAGCAACACCAGACACCTAAATGATATTCAGAGGATTAGCTGACTTCTTTCATTCAGCCTGCTTAGTCTAAACAAGAGGATTTCAACAGGAGGGGGAATTCTCCCTTGAGGGAATTTCATAGGGGGATTGAGTTCAACTTTTTGTTTAGCTGGCCAGTACTTAGATTTAGTTTATGAATTAAAAAAAAAGTTTTATTCAAATAATTGCAATTATCAATATTTTGTTATACTTTGTACTATTAATTAAGAAATCGCACTGAGCAAAAATCTAAATCTAAATAAATGTACATGTATTTTTCAGGTGATTTATATGGAGCAAATATGGCCGAGAACCCCTTGTTTAAACGATCTGGAGAAACGTTATCACACGTTTATTCGTTGGCCATATATTATAGAATCAAAGTAAAAGCATGGATTAATTATTCCAACGATTAAATGAAATAAATTTTAGAGCTGAGAGTTACGAGCTGCCTTGGAATGGACAAACACACGCGTTTAACTTAATATATATTAACTAGATATATGGAATAAACAAAGCATAACGTCTGTCTGAAAAATGATAAAGCTTTCCTTCGTGTGAATTATTACATTATTGTGTCAGCTTTCAACTAGCTTAAAATTTTATAATAAGGCATTTTATTTAAGCGGCAAGTAATTTGCACACACTATATTTCACATCACAGTACATGTTATAAAATTTATCATAAAAAAAGTAAACTCGACTGAAAGCCAATGATGGTAGGTACATCTCAAGATAAAAAATGTGTCTACGTATTAATTTCTGAGTATCATCGTAGGTGATTCAGTATGAATACAATCAGACACATTTTGTCATCATCCCAACATAATACAAAGAGATCCTTTCTGTAAAAATTAGGTACACTTCTGTTGTCGGGACCAGATTCAGAAATGTATGTATATATACATATATGGATGGATGGATGTGTTCCTGTATGCCCGTATATATGTGTGTGTACACACACGTATACGCACATACATACACACTTCCATATATACATACATTTCTCATATTAAACACCGATCCTTCTGTGCTGACAAACAGAGACCTCAATAGTCAAAAGTATAAAGACGATCATGTAAGGTGTTAATACGTAGCTCCATAATTTTGCGCGGCCGAGTTTGAAAGGTTTACGTACAGAATCTCCTTCAACTGCAGAAGTGCAAATGCCAGAAGAGAAATCTGTATTCAGGCGAAAGGGAAAGAAGTCGAGCTACTGCCATCAACTATTGTTGAAAAAGTCCATTGCTGTTGCCTGAACAAAAGCTTCTCTTTCGTCATTTGCACTTCTGCAGAAGGTTATACATTTAAACGTTCGAAAGTAATCCCGCAAATTTATAAATACTGTTGACTTAACTCTTTCAATAATCGCTATTCAGCGAGTTATTTTAAATCAAATATAGAGATGATATCCTGGAAATTAATGAAAACGTTTCTATAGCTCCAAGTAGAAACATTTATTTATGCAGAAGAATGAATCCCAGAGCACCATAGCTTCATGAGTTCGATTTCTATGCAGATGTTATCTGAAGTAGGCATGTATAGAATGCTTTATGAAGAAACAATGTCAATTTCAAACTGCCGTTGTCAGAATCAAATAGCGAGCTTAGGCCGATATTATGAGGTAAACGGCCATTGTCATTAACTCAGTTACTAATTCAGAAGTCAAACAACAAAAATCAGCGTTATATTTACAAAATTTTCACAGGACTAGTTTCGATGGTTTTACCGAACAGCAAATGAATCTGGTTCATTTGCGGTTTTGCAGCTGAAGATGGTGGTTCGGTAAAACCATCGAAACTAGTCCTGTGAAAATTTTGTAAATATAACGCTGATTTTTGTTGTTTTATCAGGTTCAGTGTTTCTCCTTACTTTCTTTGGGACATGCAAAGACATGACTCGGAACAGGGAGCATACTAAAGCTATGTTCAATAAATGTGGGAAGTAGACAAGATACACAGGAAGGGTATACGAAACCCTTTATTTTTCACTCTTTACAATAATTTCCGGACTTCGGAATACAGAGACCAACCACTTGTGGTCTGAACGTAAGAATATAAAAATATTAACTAAACTCTAACTTAACTTTGGAAATATAAACAAACAAGGGCCTACGTGGAAGATTGGCCGTATATTAACAGGAAGCCGTATGTAGTACAGAGAACTGTTAACACTACAATACGTTTAAAAATTATCAAGAGGATTAAACCTCTGGCCTGGAAGGCAACCAGCAACCGAGTAAAAACTGCTAAGATAAGCGGCCTGCTTCTACTAACTCCTTCCTCTCTTTTGCTTGGCAAAAAGCCACAACTTAAGTACTTGGCGTTCGCCAGACAAATTTGCATAAATAAGTTAAAGCTTTTAATTCTGGCCGGAAGTAGAAAATAAGAAGTGATAGTAAAGATTTAAAATAAAATAAACGTTAGTAAAACTTAAGATCCTTACATACTTCCCGCCAGAGTTAATTAGTTTGAAACTGAGGTCTAAAACGACCTTGTTGAAAACTTTTAGCTCTAGAATCTAACGCGAGGCCAATCTTTTACAAACATTTCTCACTAGAAACTAGAAATTTAAAAAAAAATTGTTTTTACATTATCAGCTCCATGGAGAACCACTTTTCATCTGTACTGCATCTAAACAGGAGCTTTTAGTTCAAATCTGGTTCCTTCCAGATCTCTGGAAGGAAAACTAGTTTAATGAAATGTTACACAATGAAATGGCAAGTAACATGAATATTTATATTTCTCTTAACATTCTTATTTCATTCATGACTTTATTTAATTATCTCTCCCCGTGCTCTCTGACATGTGTTGTAAAAGAAAACACCAAACACGAATGTGTTTATGTATACGTGTTCAACACTGCCTTCTACAATAAAAACACTAGCGTGTTAAAATTCAACATAACAAGACCTCGTAACACACCCTATCTTCATTTCTAAACCCTGAGGTACTATTCTGAAAGGGGCTAACTCTGAAGTGTAGCGTCAGAGAGCCTAACTACATTCATTCAACCTTTAACACATATTCACCATGATTTGGTCTTTTTACAGTCACACGCATAAAAAAAAAATTTAACATTACTTTCACTTTTAACATATCACAGTATTTCTTAACATTTAAAATAATAGTTCACATTGTATATAAGAACATATTAACATGCCGTTAATTTTACGCATTTTAAAACATACATTAGTAGTACATTGTTAACTTCTATTCTTTTCCAAGCAAGTGCCAATTCTTCTACATTGAAACACTACATTTCAAAAGTCTTTCAGACCAAAACTTCTTACTTGCCAGAATCTTTTAAATAAAATTTATACAATAACTTTTACAACAAATATTCAAGTATTTACACATTCCTATTATACATCAACTTTAGTTTTACTCGCGAGTAATTGAAAAACATAACACCAAAATAGGTAACAACGCATTTCTCGCCTTTTTGGCGATAAAGGTAGACCTCACATGAGGTAAAATTTCTTGAAATCTGCCACTTGCAGTAAAAATGAAAGATTAACTTAAGTTTGCAAAGTAACATAAAATTTTACTTATCTTTGTGATATTCGGACATTCTTTTCTCTGCCCAGTCCTGGAAGGTAGCAACGATTCGTGTTTGATTTATCCTCCTTCTTGTGCGGGCTCGCTCTTCAGGCCCTTCCTCTAGAAGCTTTTTTTTCCCTCCAGTTCGATCACCCTTGAATACCTTCTTTTTCGCCTCTGCCTGTGGTCCTGGCCGTTTGATGGGAGCTGGTCTTGGCGGAACCGGGACACTTCACTCTCGTTCCTGCTTGGACCTCGTTGCTGGCCGTTCAAATTTTCCTTGTATCTTTTCCTCCGCCGCTGGTGGTCCTTCCGCAGTTCGGCGACTTTTGCTGCGTATAGTCCTGTCCGATGAGTAGATCTTCCGTTTGGGAGCCGGTTTATAGTTGCCGTTATTTCTCCTGGCTCTCTTTGCATTCGTCGTACTTTCTCCCTTCTTCATTCTGGGGGTGGTCGTGCGCTCTCTTTTATGGTAGGTGGAACGGATTCTTTTTCTTGTTACCTTCAATTTTCCAACGGGGAAACTTTCTTTTCAATTGCTCCTGCCTCCTCCTAATGGCTTGTCCTTGTGCTTGAACGTTTGTTCCACCTCTGGAGCTTGTGCCTGCCGTGCCTGCCGTGCCGGATCCTGCAAAAGATTTTTGAATATTTGCATTTTATTACGGTCATAGTAATGGGTTTAATTTGGTCAATGTTTGCGGAGCACGTGTTTCACCATTCCTTCCTTGCTTTTAACACCACTACAGCGTGAGTTATTTTTTCTATGACATATGGTCCTTCAAATCGTGGAAAAATTTTGGCGTTTTATCTTCCTGGTGCTGAAGAAAGTGAATGCTTCAGTTTTTAACACTTCACCTCCTACTTTATAAGTTACTCCCCGTCGTTTCAAATCGTAATAGAGTTTTTTGTTTTCTCTTGTGCTACTTTCAGTGTTCTTTTTTCTTTTTTGCTTCTTTAATTAATTTTTTCTATATCACCCATTTAAATTCTGGGGCTCTTTGTTGAACATAAAATAATTTATCTAACGGCGTTATAAAATCTTTCTGCCTAAAAATAACTCAGCAGGAGTTTTGCCCGTTGTATCAAGTTTTGCGGTCCTAAGGGCGAAAGCAAATTCATTGACATAGTTTATCCCAGCTTTTATGAAAATTTTTTTTTAACATAACTACTACGGATAATTTTCACTATATTTCTATTGACCCGTTCCGCTATATTTGATTGCGGCCGATACGAGACCATTTTTTTACATGACGTATGCCCAGTTTTTTGGCACATGTCTTCAAATATATTACTTACAAATTGAGGACCATTACCCGATATAACTTTTAGGGGCGCCCCGTATTTAAAAAATATATTTATTTAAAATAGAATCAGTAACTAATTTCGCGGTTCGC